CAATCGACAGCTGGTCAAGAGGAATCCGCCGTCGTCTTCTGGTGGAACCGACCTTCGAAGCTCTTTACCCAACACTTTCACTCGAAATGGAAGTAAGCAGAAAAATTATGAAACAAGAGATACCTCGAAACCCAACTTTTCTTCGCAGTCTATTGAGTGTCCTGCATTGGCAAAGTGTGTTCAGCGAACTCAGACTTTTGGACCCATAGACCTTTACAAATGGTTTTGTGTTCGTATGGTCTCTTGTGAATGGGTCGGCAGATATCCCTCGCTAAAACCTTAAGGTAGCTTGATTTTGTAAGAAAGTTGGAATATTCCCCAAATGAAGGAACTTCTTTTCATACATTATCCTGATGCTCCACTCACACAATAGATCCCTCAACTTTTTCACAAGCCGAACGGAACTGATTAGAATGCTTTATCTGTCTATCCCATTCCGAATAGCAATCTTCTTCAATTCTAATATTGGCGTACCTTGCATTTCTTTCAAGAAGACGTGTGGAAGGGATTCCTAGATTGGCCTCACCAGCTACCGAAGGAGGGTTGACGTGGACTGGTGTTTGTTGAATTGTTCGAAGAAGTCTTCGACTCACCGTCCTACGACCCCGATGACTCTGTGCTGAGCTTTCGTTCGTCATGTCACGGACATCGTCAGAACCAGAAACCAGTATTCACGAACAATCACCAAAAAACCTAAACCAAGAAATGTGGCCAGCTGAGATTCTGATAGCTTCTAGTGCCCCACGTTATAGATTTTAACGAAGCAGTCCATACTTTGGTTGGCTGTTTTCCATTTCGAGTGAAAGTGTTTGGTGAAGAGATTGGGAGGTCGATTCTACCAGAAGACGACGGCAGATTCCTCAGGATCAGTTGTCAATTTATTTTACTGGAACACTCTTTTTGGCGCTGTTTCCGAGGTAATCGCCTTCAATTCCGGTGAAAGGTTGCTAAGGTTTCATCCGTCATATCATCGCCACAAGGAAAATTCAAGATAACGAATCATCAAAATTTGATGGTGGAGAACAGACATTACTTTGACTCATCACTGCGGGTTTCGTGCATAAGTGAACATAAACACATACATGCGCATACAGCGTCAGACACACTCACAGACTTCGAGGTTGACATATGACCGTAACTAACCAAATCACTTTATACATGATCAAAGCGGCCAGATAAACAGTATAGATACCGCTTTTTAGGGATTTGCTGGTGAGTTTTCTTGACTCGTTAGCTTGAATTTTGTTGTGACGATGATACCTTGCTCTGATGATGTTTGTCAAATGACGGATGAAAGCTTGGCACCTTTTGACCGGAATCGAAGGAGATCACCGCAAAAAACAGCGTCACCAGGAATGTTCCAGAAATGTTCTTCTTGTAGAATCGACCTTCGAATCTCTTCACCAAACTCTCCCACTCGAAATGGAAGTGAGCGCAACAATTATTAATCAAGAGATACCTTTGAACCTAACTTTTTTTCGCATTTTTATGCTTGTCCTACATACACGCAAATGGGTCAAAATGATGCATGAAGGTGAGCGGAAATGGTTACAACTTTTGTGTATGTAAATAAACTAGCGTATGATCCAGTGGTCTTGAGTTTTGTTGCAGCTTCGTGGATGCCCGTTCGTGGGTATTAGCAGCAACTACGATTTGGTTGGCAATTTTAGATACCAAAATAGACTTCAGCTTATGTACGTCTTCTCCTACTCAGCGGCTCTTCCTGTTCTCTTTCCTTCTCTCTCTTTCTCTAATTCCCGTTGGCAACCACTCGTTTCCTACATTCGTTTCATTTATTCAGGATTTTATTTGTTTTTATGATTTCAATCAACTTTATAATCTTCCGCTTAGATGTAAAGTCTCCGTATCCAGCAAAAGTTGGGTTTTAGACCACTCTAGTTGGTCTCCTGTAGCGACCACTTCTGATTTGTGAATCCATAAACCTTTGAAGTCAGTTCTGCGTTCTGACCATGTCCGTCACATGACGTACGAAATCTCAGAACGGAATCATCGTGGTCGCACAATTCAAGACAACCATCCTTCGGCATCCGCAGCTCTTCCACCCGCTTTCTCAAACAAAATGTGGGATATTCCAGTACCAAGGGAGTCTTCGGAACCCAGCTTCCCTCTTGTTGTTACTGACAATTAAAATGCTATTATCTACCAATCTTAATAGGCAATTATTTCAGTCTCCATACATACCGATCTCCTAGTCCCTGTGGTCAACCTCTGCTAGACGTAAATTCCTTATTATCATTAATTTCATAAGTCCTATTGGAAAAGAAATAATAATCGAACCCACATGTTTCGGTTTCCTATACACGTCTCTGTCTAACTTATTGCCATATTTACTCACTAATACATCTTTGCCGGGTTGCCAGACAACAAAGAAATCGTCCATCTAACGAACTAGTAACTTGGGCACTAAGAATGCCTCTGGAAAGACCCGCACTTTTAATTTGGGCTTAAATATGGGCCAAACAAGATCCTATTGCCAAGCCCCGCGTCTAAGTATTATTAATTGCCTAATTAATTAATACAATGGTTGAATCTTTGCTACTTTTTTTTACCTGTTGTGAGCTCAGGATGTTGATCTCCATCAGCAAATCTCTTCTTTCTACCATCTGATCATCAGCTAACTTTATAAAGATGTCAGAATTCCTTACAGAAAACCTCCAATTTTCTGAGATTTGCTTTACCTTGGTACAAGTAAATAGTGATGCTTTATGCATCACGCTATCTTTATTAATTGCACCACTTCAAATTGTGGTACATTTCTTATGCATTTTGGGCAGATCATACTCATTTGGTAGTTGAGATCCTCGTTGGAGATTGTTGCAGAAGACTCTTAAGTCTTAAGTCCATAACTATCGTTTTCTAATGCTGGCTCAACTTAGTTTT